CCAAATGATTGTAGCATAGAAAAAACGAGGCATACATTCGAACGGATCCTCGAACTATACGAAGTCGATTCTTTTCTAACTGACGTGTATTTCAATAAAGGGTTATAATCACATGCAAAAGTAATATGAACAGTAATCGACAATTTTGTTCGTGCTATTTCAGCTGAAGTCTATGAACTTACTCAAATAATTAAATATTACGACATATTTTATACATTTCTTTACGAAATAATCTCAAATATATATATATATATATATATATATATATATATATATATATATATATATATATATATATATATATATATATATATATATATATATATATATATATATATATATATATATATATATATAACACATGACAAAACATACCAATATTACCTAATAAGAACAGCAAAAGAGTATGAAGAACTAACTTGAAATTATATTCGGACGCATTGGTAAATATGTCTTCCACTTACATGTTATCAAGCAGTCATTAGTTGTCATTGTGTGTTTCTTTTAACGTGTGAAATAGTGGGGAAAAAATGGGCATACAAATCTAAGTAGGAACTTCCGTGGCTCAGTGGTTAGCGTCACAGACACGCGACCGAAAGTATGCAGGTTATGTTCCTACTACCGGACCTGCCCAGGTTTCTGTTGTGGAGTGTTCTAAGGCAAAGCGCTTTGCTCCAATTACCTGGACAATAAGTAACCTGCATGCACCAGCCAGACTAATATAAATCTAACTTATGGCGATATATACATATAATTAAAGCTGGTAACATGCATAAATGAAACATCAAAACTGTTTTGTTTACACAGAACGGCGTAAGTATTCGTTTCGATGCCATAATGTTTCTTGAATACGCTAAAATGTAAGATCCTAATTTCAAAAATTACGAAACCGATCACGAGTTAAATGTTACACCATGACATGACGTGGTCTTGTTGATTTATTAATTTGTAATCATAGTTTGGTGTAAATGTCATTACTGGGGAAGATAAACACACACACACACACACACACACACACACACACACACACACACACACACAACACCAACCACTGTCCCTTACACAGGTTGACTGAAACATGAGCAGGGTTTATAGAACTTCCTACTTTGTAAACATTAGTGTTTCTTCCACTTTAATATCAATTTTGACAAATTTGGCTATCCCTCAAAAAATGTATTATTTCAAAATAACATAACTGTTCTGACATTTTATCTCATTATCGAGCTATTATCGTCACGTGTTCTGTTACGACTCCATTATTACTCTATTATTGCAAACTTAAATAACAGAAAAGAATCAAAACCAAAACGTTTATAAAACTTAACAAACAATTATCTAGTTTTAAATGTTAGAGGAACTTACACTTTTATGAAGTGAATCCAAACTAGTATCTGTAAAGGTCAACGAAAGTCCTAAACGACTGAAAGGTTCCTTATAAGATTCAGTACTGGAAATGTACTGGTCCACCAAGAACTGTGGCTCTGACAAGATGGTGTTGTCCAGAATTCCTTCGAATAATTTAGAACGGTCCCAAAATAATATTATCATCCAAATAATGAGCGCTTTCTATTTCCGCTGAACAGTTCAATTAAATGTTTTCCTGTCGAATAAAACAGCATAAAAAACGTCTATAGACTTACAACAAGAACAAAATAAGAGTAAATGACTCCAAAACTCGGAATTAATCCGAATGCTTAGTGTCCACCTTATAGATACCACCTATTCGACTATATCTCGCAATAGATCGCACGCACGTAACAGCATTTACTACTCATATTGCGTAGAATTGTGCATATTCATGTGACTTAAGACAACCAGTGGGAAGTTACAGAATTATTCTCAAAACGTCGAAATCCCATCAGTCACTGAGAAATTATGCCGTTGCCACCATCAACAGATAAAAAATATATATTTATAGATCCTATTCAGTTTGAGTTCTTAACAGAGCCAGGTCACGTACACATGTTTATAACAACAATAAAACATTCTATACAATTTACAACCATGAATAAACATTACTAAAGTTAAATAACATAATGTACCAGAAGTTACAAGAAATATACATACATAACAATACAAAGCATATAATTATGTTATCTGATTCAATGGATGTTTGCATGGTCAGTTTCGTCTTTTTTAACAATTATATAATAATATAATTATATAAAAAATTGATATATCACTCGCAATGCCTAATTTTAAGATATTCAGGATTCTACTGCCATCAGCATAAAATATTAAATTATGTTTCATATCCATCATATAGCGTATGGAGATTTAATGTGAAAAAACAATGACTCACGCATCTGAACATTAGGATGTATTATAGTGGCGCAGACATCTAATACCACCACAACGACGGGCGATTAACAGATAGGGACCTATTTTCTACCTTTGAAAAAGTATCGATATTCCAAGGGACATATCTAACTCAAATGTCTGTTAGGTTATTGAAAAGTTGAAATAAATGCAATACCCCAAAAATATTTGTTTCATAATTTTTTCATTTAAATTTTATTATAGACAAATAGCAGAACATTACCCCAAACTTACCGAAAATAGTGTGAGTTACTTCTAAAGAAATTGTATAATGACTGCGGAATCCACGAAAAATGGTACAACATGAAAATATCCTGCCTACATTTGCAAAAGCATCGAAGCGTGCGATTATTAGATATCTGCATGGAAAGACATCGAGGAAAAGTCTTATATATTCATTTGAAATTAAATTTCTTCAAAAATTTATGGGATTGATCCGTGCAGTGGTGATCTGGGAATATTAATTTCAAAGCTGCGAGAAATAATCGATATATGTACTGATATGTTGCCAGTAGTGTACTAAAGGCAAATGCCGCATGTGGTGACGATGACGGTCTCAAGGCAAAGGGGTTTTCGCGCCCAAATACCTTTGGCGCTGTGGCGACTGCCCTGTCTGCAAACCCACCCACCACTATTTAGTACGCTACAATATGTTGCGGCGATATCTATCTGAAATATTTGCATGTTTTCTGAATAGGTGACATCGAATCTTAGGTCACACGACATATTAATACAGATTTGGGGGGTATCAGGACAACTCCCTCCTGTACATTCCCCACGGACACCCCCCCCCGACATCCCCACGGAAATTACCCCCCTGGACTTTTCCTCCATCAAATAGGAATCTCCCCCCCAGTCATTCCCCCATTATCTTTATACTACTTTATTTATATATAATAACATTTAGCTTTGATGTCTACTTGCATCCCGCATCAACATTAGTGCACAGGTATGACTGTTGTCACCTGAAATAAATGCATTATCAAAAGTAAAATATCTACTTTCCTGACCTCCCTCCCTCTCTCTCTCTCTCTCTCTCTCTCTCTCTCTCTCTCTCTCTCACACACACACACACACACACACACACACACTCTCACACACATACACACACATGGATCTTAAGGGTAGCTTTGCATCACATTTGAAATGTGAACATAAATTCACATCTATTTTTAAGCATTGTTAGTTATAACAAAAATGGACATTGTCTATTTGTCAATCAATTGCTAGTGCTTTTACTGAATTTAAAACAGGAGGTTTCTTTGAAGAAAGTTGAAGAGGCTTGAGTCTAACCTTTATTTATTGTGCACATTTTGTATATTTAAGTTAAACTAAGACGGATTAGCCATCATTCAATTAATTGTAGTTGTTTCAGTACCATACTCAGGCCAGAGGTCAACATAAGCTGATTATGATGTAACAACCAAAGAAGAAGTACAAAGACTGTTCTTCCAGAATTGCAAACATAGTCGCTGACTTCAACAATCATGACATCATACAATACTTAAGAGCAATTGAAACAATATTAACTTTTAAACAATACAATTTTTTAGTATGTGATAAGAAAATGTTAACTTTGTTAAATACGTACTACTGAAATTTATTTCAAATAACATTTTTCTTTTAACATAATTATATCTGTTTTTTATATTGTATTGGCAAAATGTCATATTAAATATATTAAGTTTTAAGATCATAGGAAAATGATTGGGCGGGGGTAAGTCCTATTTGATGGAAGGGGGTGTCTAGGGGGTTATGTCGGGTGAAGGAGGTAAGTCGGAGAGGGGGAAATCATTTTTGCATGATCTGTTTACGTCTGACTTATTTTGTGAAGTACTTATTTTAATAATTATGAATTGGTAGACTATACAGTTTATGAAATAGTAAAGAGTTACATTTGCTCGTTATTTCATGGGAAATGTAAGTTGTAAATTGATACTAAAAGTTGCTGTTAGTGGGTCATGCAGATCTCATTTACGTTAGCTTGTTTACATTAGGAACACATAAAACAAGCTGATCTCGTTCAGGATTCAATTAACTATGGTGAATTAATAAGAGGTAAACAGCGATTAAAGTCTATCACTTACGGCAAAAGTGGCAGAGTTTTATATGCTTATTTATGAAAAAGAAGAAAATTGATTCTAGTCTGAGACCATGCTTATTTAAGAAAGATCAACCCAGTTAGCGTGTGCTATTGTACTTGTAAAAAATACGCACATTTATTGAAAGATTAGACAAGCACGACTCAACAGTAAACGATATTAGAATTACCTGGGAGTTATTGGAGGGGGGGCAACACAATTAATACAATGGGATATGTGTAACTAACCTTACTAGATCCCGTAGACAGATACAGTGATAGACAGGTTAAAATAACATTTTACCTATGAAAATGATCTTAAAATATCATGGAAACATTCTTATCTTGTGTATATTTATGTCTGCTAATCATGTGTACTTGCCATTTAATACATAGCAATGTTATCATTCTTAATTTGTAACTGAGAGCTAGTTCGTCTACCATATTCTTGAATCGCTTTTGTTTTTATACTGTAGAGAAATTTCATTGCCATGCGTTAAGTAGTTTTGAGGTCATACATAAATTCCCAAATTGAAACAGGAAATGGCTAACAGTACGGAAAATAGCAGATTTAACGCCCTAAAGAAGTAATAAAACATGATGTTTCTGCTGAGACTCTAACTCAGGACCTTCTGCGTGTTAGGCAGATGTGATAACCATTATACCACAAACAACTGTTTGTATTGTGATCAAACATGCTATAAACCTTTTGAATTTATTTTTTTTTTTTTAAAAAAAAAAAACAGTGGCGAGTACAATGTTAAATCGATGTTTGTTTCTTTTATTTTTTTTTGTTATTAGATGGAGAGTCCTAACTGCAGAAAATAACATGTATTTGTATCCGAAATGGTCTTTAATAAATTAAATGCATTATCACTAGTCGATATTTTTATGATTTCGAGAATTCTGTTGCGGCATATAGTGCATGCACATTGTTTTAATTCCAGCCGTTATAACGGTAGGTTTCTGGCATAGTCAATACAGTATACATGTACTCGATTTTTTTAAAAAATTATACATCAGCCAGTCTTGAACCATACACCTCCATCCTTTCATGAACAATTATCTGCTCCTTCTATGAATAGGATTATTTGGACACATTCGGTCCACCTCGGCAATTTCTACGAGAGAAAAATATGCCTCTAAGTTGTGAATGGGATTTATCAATTCACTCGCCGTTGACCACACTTTTCCGAACAAAAATATGAGCGGACCGTGGAAGGCATCTTCTAAAATTTGTAAATTATGAAGAGGTTAATCGTTCTCAGCTGGATTTAAAGATGATGAGAGTGATGAGAAGCTAACTATAGGTTGCTTGCAAACTTGAGGTTCAATTGTTTCTGTGGTGTAGTGGTTATCACATCTGCCTAACACGCAGAAGGTCCTGAGTTCGAGCCTCAGCAGAAACATTATATTTTGTTGGCTTCTTTTGGGCGTTAATCTCTGTATTTTCAAGAGAAAAGTACCCTGGTAAGTCCAGGATTCAATATTAGACATTTCGTCTTTTTTTTTTTTTTTAGGGAATTTAAATAACCTCAAAAGCAACTCAATGCATGATAATGAAATTTCACCACAGAATAGACAAAACCGGTCAGGACTATAGTAGACGAACTAGCTGAAGTTTTAAATCACGAATGGAAACATTGCTATATGTTTAATGACAAATACACATGACTAGTAGACATAAATTTACATAAGATTTCGTGATCGTAAGAATGTTTCCATTATATTTTAAGATTATCTTCATAGCTACGGTGTTATTTTAATATGTCTTCAATAGATCTTTCCATCCATATAATGATTGTACGCATCGATGCTTTCCCAAATATAGCTCGGATCTGATCCATTCGGAAGCTGTACCTGACCTATAATCTCGGAATGTATTCACTCAATTACAATCTAGCCGAAAATTATTTAATTCCTCATAGATTATAAACTTAAAACCACAGCTTGCTCAGCCCACGCAACCATTTGGACTTAAAAAAAAAATATATAGTCGTTAGTAGCGAGTGCAGTGTTAAATAGATGTTTAATTTTTGTAAGAAGACGGAGAAGCCTTGCTGCATAAAAAAAACATGTATACCGTTCATGATATCTGTCCCTAATAAAATAAATGCATTAACAAAGGAATATATACTATATCTACTCAACATTTTTTTTTGATTTTGAGAATTCTGTCACGGTATATATTGTATGCACTTTAAAAGTCACTGTTCCTAGGTCATGCAGACCTCATTTACGTTAGCTCGTTTAAATCTGAAACACAAAACTGACCGGACCCGTTCAGGATTCACTGAACAATAATGAGTTAATATGTGGTAAAAAGCGACAAAAATCTATGAATTACAGTAAAAGTGTCATACTGTTCAATGCTTCTTTATGAAAAAGAGGACAATTGAGTCTCATCTGGGACCAGGCTTATTTATCACTGATCAATACAGCGAAGGTTTTTGTATATGTAAGAAAATATGTACATGTATTGAAATACAAAACAAGCACGACTCAAGTGCAAATGATGACAAAAATACCTGCGAATTGATTGGAGGGAGGAGGGATAGAATGAACATAATAGTATATTCGTAAACGACTTTCCTACATCGAATAGAAAGATATATTTTGGATAGATAGATTAAAATAATATTGTAAATGTGAAAATGACTTTAAGACAAGGCATACTTGAAGAGACCTGCATTACGGAAATTTTTTTACGATCATGAAATATTATGTAGAATTATATCTACTATGCATATGTGCATTTAATGCACAGCAATGTCATTCGTGATTTGAAATATGAGCTAATTCATCGACCATGGTCCTGACCCGCTTTGTCTTTTCTTGGAGAAATTTTCATGTCCATGCATTGAGAAGCTTTTGAGGTTACAAAACAATGTATCTATGAAACTGAAAGAGGAAATGGCTAAAAGTGAACTGTTTACATGCCCGCTTTCTTTTCATTGAGCTATAATGCGAGAAATACCAAAAATAATAAGATCAGACAAAAATATACTGTTTCTGCTGAGGCTCGAACTCAGGACCTTCTGCGTGTTAGGCAGATGTGATAACCACTACACCACAGAAACAACTGTTTGTATTGTGATTAAACATGTTGTAACTAGCTTCCAATCTACTCTGATAGTTTATCAACTTCAGACCTGGCAAAATTCCAATCCAGCTGAGAACGATTAATCTCTTCACAACTTACAAATTTCAGAATATACCTTGCACTGTCCGCGCATATATTTGTTTTAGACGAATGTGGTCAACGGCAAGTGCATTATCAAATCCCACTCACAGCTTATAGGACACACGGTACTATTTATATGGAAGATCTGTGAACCAGTCTAGAAATGGGTGAGTTTATACGGGTTTGGTTGTCCATAATTGGTTAATAATGAAAGGTAAAATTTTAGTAAAAATATCTTTTGAAAGCTTAACCTATGTGTATTTTAAAAAAAAATATAGACAAAATTATATTGATGCTATTTTAGTATTTTTAAAGACTTGACTTAGGATTACTCAATAATTAAAGTAGCACTTGATTCGCTTGGTGCAGAATCAATGACATGTGTTTCATGCACATGTAGGTCAAAAATATGCTGCGGCTCATATGGTGTTCTCCACACAGAAGCTTGCACCAAGGATAGTTGTGCATGGATAAATATAGGTCTGATCATCAGTACCCAGAAATTTTAAATTATTGAATTTTAAATATGATTGTGTTTCCATATGTTTACTATGGGAGTTGAATTAATACTGTGACTCCTATAAGTTAATACCTCCGGCATATTTGTCTCTCACAGAAGTAGCCGATGTGAACCGAACATATCAAATAAATGCTATTTTTAGGTTACGGGACAGGCTAATATACAGGAAAGGATGCAGTGGTCTGGCGCAGACTCGCGCTCAGGCAAAATAAAAAAATCTGGTACACCACACAAGCGTTCGCTACGAAGAAAATTGAGTCTAACCTGTAAGAATATAACACAAGGGAAAACACCGGTCTGCACTCCTCGGTAGTTTCATCCATGCTACTTTATCATAATTGCGTCTACTAATTTCCAACATAAACCAGTCGTAATCAAGAATAGTTCAATTTTCAAAACAACTCGACACTTTGTTCAGTTTGTGACATATTGGAGTAAATGCAAAAGTTGTTCGCCGATTTTGACTTTTGGAATAATGATGGCCGGTAAGTGGCGTTTGCATTCGGATACTCTTGGATTTCACCATTGACAGAAAGGTAAGGTCCGAACAATCGCGTGTCCGCAGTAAATATGGTTAATGTACATTGCGTTGCGTTTTAACTTTGATGGTAAAAACTTATATCGATTTTGATAAATTTGGTTCTGATTGGTTGTTTCATTGATCCACAGTGCATTGTTAACCGTCTGGTAAAACTTATTGTTTAATAATTCATTAACAAACATGATTCTAAATGTACATGTTACTTCATACAGTCTACATATAAAAGTAAAATTAATGCTAGAAACATATAGACATACAGGTGTCAAATGTAAATCTCACACAGTAGCATATTTAACAACTTTTATATATTTTGTAATACATATTCACAGTTATTCGTGTGCTCTTTATCTCATATAAACTATTTGTTGATCAGTAATTGAGAAAGTTGATTTAAGTGTGTATGTCTAAGCATCTTTACGTATCAATAATTCTTTATCTTAATCATCCGAAATAGATGCATCTTTCCTAATTATAATAAACTACTAGTACTAATTTTATTAGTTTCGTAAAGTTTGGATGGCTCCTCTGTGTTTGTGGAGATTTATCTTCCTCTGTTCTACAAAGGAGTAAACCGAAGCTTCGGTAATCATAAACAGGGTAAATATCATAAGTCTTCTAATATTTTAATGTTGAACGGCTGGACAAGATTGCTTTCCTTTTTGCTTCGTTTAACTGTCAATGCGTTGTACGTTTTAATATAGCTTTATGCTTATATCAAATATTGGAAAATTTTATTATTTCCGATACCAGCCAACATTGAAGACAACTGAGTTTGTTTCATCTTCAAATCTTCTTTTTTAAACAAAGGATACGAAACATTTTCAAATTCGAATATTATTGCAATTATCTCTTTGGTTTACGTGTCATACCCATTGAAAGACGGGTTTCTGCTGGAATCTTGCAATATGATAAGCCAGCATCAGATGAAGTGGCGTGTCCTTGAGCAAGGTCCATTACTGAACTTTTCTCGCCATGATATAGCCTTCGTGGTTTGCTGTTGTTAAAGACCACCCTACCACTCCACCCCCTTAATCATTTCATTATATATGATTGGAGAATGGGTCCATCAATTTAAGTATTTGGCATGCATTTTCAGGATGTCATCATTTTGTAATATTACACGGGAAAGAAAAAAAACAACTGTTTGATGGGAGGGGGAGGGGGTAGTGAAATAAATTTTCGAGCATACACTCCTAAATTTATCACAACATTTGAAGAAGGATTCAAAACAAGATAAGAGCTAGTAAATGTAAAATCTACAAATATGGGAGCAGACTTGCATCAGAACTGCATAAAGAGGATATCGATGGGTCAAGCGATATATTAAGCTGGATTCATTCTCTTGGTTTTACTTATTTGATATTTTTGAGCTACCATGACGACTTCACATTCATAGAAGAAAAGGGAAAAAATCAGTAACAATGCATTAC